AAGAGGCTGTCAGATCCCCTGGAACTGGAGTTACGGACAGTTGTTAGCTGCCATGTGGGTGCTGGGATTTGAACCCAGGTCTTCTGCAAGAACAGCCAGTGTTCTTAACCGCTGAGCCATCTCTCCAGCCCCCTCCACCTTATTTTTTTAGATGAGTTCTTTCACTGGCTTTGAGCTCACCAACTAAACTAGGTTGGCTGGCCAGGATGCCCCAAGGATCTACCTATCTCCACCTGGGATTGAAAGTGCACACTACCACGCTCAGCTTTTCTACCCGGGTCTGGAAGTGGAACTCAGTTCCTTATGCTTGCATAGCAAGCCAAGTGTTTTATTGACTAAGGCAACAGCCCAGCCCCATATATATATATTTTAAATATAGTTTTATGTATCCCAGACTCACACTCATTATCCGAAGAAACTCAGAATTTAAGATCCTCCTGCCTCATTTTCTCTAGTGCTAGGATCATAGGACTGTGCCACCGTGCCGGGTTTATGGGGTGTTAAAGATAAAACCTAGGGCTTTGTGCATGCTAGGCAATCACTCTACCAACCCCCAATGATAATCTTTATATAGTGTATTATTTACATCTTCACCACATCAACAGGATGCTGTATTTTTATCCTTATTTTGCACACTTAACAGTTGCTATACCTGGAGCTAAAAAATCAGATTGTATGAAACCAAATACACTTGTCTTGGCGATATAACGTTCATCTTTTTTTTTTTTTTTTTTTTTTTTTTTTTTTTTTTGGTCTTTTTGAGACGGGGTCTCCCTATAGCCCCAACTGGCCTGGAACTCGCTTTGTAGACCAGGCTGCCTTGAACTCACAAGAGATCAGCTTGACTCTTGACTCCCAAGTGCTGGGAATAAAGGCGTGCGCCATCACGCCTGGCAAAACTCCCATATTTTAAAAGAAGTATTTCCCCAGCAGTGGGGAGGCAGAAGTAGGCGGATTTCTGTGAGATCGAGTCCAGACTGGTCTATATAGTGAGTTCCAGGCCAGCTGGTGCTACAGGGAGACCCTGTCTCAAAAAAGGAAAAAAAAATTTTTTTTCAGTAAAATTACTGAGTTTATGGAAAAGTCCACAATACCCTTTGATTTCACTTTTTTTTTTTTTTTTTTTTTTTTTTTTTTTTTTTACAGCTGTCTCTTTGTAGCCCCAGCTGACCTGGAACTCACAATGTAGACCAGGCTAGGCTGGCCTTGAACGCAGAGATCCGCCTGCCTCAGCCTCCCAAGTGCTGGGACTACAGGCTTGCGCCACCACACCCGGCTGATTTCACTTTTTAAAGAAGCTGACTAATATGAAAAACATTGAGGGAAAAGCATGTTTTCTGTCCTTTCAAACTGTGCAACATCTTTCCCTCTTTCCCAACTAGTACCTAGTACAGCTTTATTTAAAAAAGGAAGAGAAAAATCAAATAAAAAAGACTGCGATTCCCAGCGTGTCTCACTTCACAGCGCGAACCTGCGCTTTGGAACTTCAAGTTCCAGCATGCAACGCTCCTTCTCTCTGGGCCGCCGGGGGTCGTCGAGACTACAGTTCCCAGCATGCAGCGCCACCGCCCCTTGCTTTTGTCGCCCAGCTGGGCCCTGCTTCGGAAGGACGTTTTGGACTCCAGAGAAAGGTTCCTCGAGTCCCGGCCCCTCTGGGGGCACGTGAATATAGGACAGTTCTGTTTTGTCGCCCAGATGGGCCCTGCTTCGGAAGGACGTTTTGGACTCCAGAGAACGGTTCCTCGAGTCCCGGCCCCTCTGGGGGCACGTGAATATAGGACAGTTCTGGCCCGTTGAACCGGTCCAGACAAGGCTGCGGAGGGATTGGATGGCGCTTGGGCAGGGCTCTGCTCAGGCAGCGTTTAGAGCAGCCCCGGCTGGGTCCTCCCGGGGCCTTCCTGCCTTTGAACAGCGGTGGCGGGCGGGTACTCCGTTCCCGGCACGTTGGAGAGTAGGGACCGCCATCTCCATGGCCACAGTTGCGAGTGGGTCCTGCACCGGCGGGTCTCGGGACATCCTCTGGCGCGTGAGTTAGCGCACCTGTGTTCACTGCGGGACTTCGGCGGGGCGGGCAGGCTCTGCGGCGCGTTCGCGATGGTCTGGTTAGGGGCCTGTCTAGGGAGGCTTCGGACCAGCGCGTGGCGAGGGCAGTGCCCCCGGACTGGCCACAGGACTGTAGGGGCGTCCTCGCTGGAAGCCAGGTCTGAAATGGAAGTTGGTCAGCGTGGATGGGATGAGCGGAACGGAAATTAGGACAGAGTAGGAAAAAGTGTTTTCATCTGGTGCATAATAAATAGCCTGTTGATTTCTTTGGCATAAGAAACGGGAGGGCGTTCCCTGTGCTGAAAAGAGAGTGGTGTGGTCTTAGCAGACACTGGGGTTGGGGAAACACCTTAGCGCGGCAGATATACTTGGTTAGTTGACGCCCCACTGCGGGACTAAGCTAAGAGCTCATCCCCGGATCCGTTCTATGGGGCGCAGAGAGAAATAGAAGTCAGGATTCCTTTTCGAGTAGTGCTTCTACCCCGATGTACTGTGATTTGTACCAAGCTAAAATCTTTTGAGTCTGTTCGTTACCATCTATATCACCAGTCACTAAGTCCTGTAGTCTTTGGCTTGTGCTGTTGTGCTGGACTTAGCTCTGGATCTAGTACCCTTTGATCTATCTTCCTTCCAGCCCCTAACAGTAAATTCAAAGATGTTATTGTTTAGAACACAAACCTAACAGTTACTTTCCTGCTCAAAGCCCTTCAGTATCTATTTATTCAGTAGTAAATCTTTTGCCTCTGTGGTTGGCACTTGCAGTTCAGACCTGAGTGTGGTGTGCAGTACAGTAGCTGTTGACTAAAGAGCACATAGCATAGTTTTCAAAATGTGTACAACCTTGGATGTTTGTACAATTATCAGCAAAGCCTAGAGAGACTGGTTTTAGTTACTGTAAAATGTGAACTTAATGAGAGCCAGGGATATAGCTTAGTGGTAGAGTGCTTGCTTGGCGTGTATAAGACTGAGTTCAGTTCCTAGCACCACAAAAAACCAAAACAGAACACAACTAAGAGTCTGGACATGGTTCAAACTTGTAATCCCAGCACTTGGGAGGTTGAGGTAGGTGGATTTTCATGAGTTTGAAAGCCAGTTAGATAATTGAGTTTCAGGCCAAACCTGGGCTACAGTAGAAGACCTTGTCTCAGAAGACTAGGAAAAAAAATTAAATGAGGATTTTACCCCTACTTTAACTATGAAGTTTGATGTTGCAACTAATGCAACCATTCCCTGAGAATTGATATTCCCTGAGAATACAACGTTCTGTAGTGGTATGTGATGTATAAATATTAGCAACCATTGGGTTTATACATTACTGTATGTACTACAAACTGGATATAAATATTAACCATAAATGGTTAATGGTAGCAGCCTATTTGAAACGACAGGATTTGCATAACTGAAATCATTTAACTGACTTCATGATTGAGAAGTGTTGTTTAATTTTAGGTTTTGGGCTGGAGGATTGTTACAAGTATTGTTTGGTCAGTGTTGCTTTTACCCATCTGCACCACAGTGTTTATAATCTTCAGCAGCATTGATTTATTTCATCCTATACAGTGGTTGTCAGGTAAGTGGTAATGTGGGAAAAACGTATTTACAAGACAATTCTCATAAAAATGTATGCTGCAAACTTTATTTTTCATTCTCTTTTATTACAAATAGTTTTATTTTTAACTACTGTCTGTATATTGACACATCAAAACATTCACTTTGAGATGGGTTGAAGGTACTCCTTGCATAACATAAAATGTCATTTTGTTATGTAAGATCAATAAGCCTGGGGCTGGAGAGAGGACTCATTGGTTTAGAGCATTGGCTGCCCTTGTAGAAGACCTAGGTTCAGTTCCCAGCACCAATATGGCGGCTTAACATTTGTTGGTAATTCCAGTTCCAGGGAATATGACGCCCTGTTCTGGCCTCTGTGGGCATTGTTTGCACAGGTGCACTTGCATACATGCAGGCAAAACACTCATACACACACACACACACACACACACACACAAAATCAATAAGCCTGTTAGAGGTTATACATGATAGCAACAAAAACAATCCTTAGAAGGAAGACTACATAAATAGCTGGATGTGGTGGTGCACATCTGTAAGCTTGGTACTCACTTTGGAGGCAGAGGCAGGATCAGTGAAAATCCAGTCTGTGATACAGAATAAGACCCTATTTCAAAAAAAAAGACCACACAGATGAAGACTTAAATCTTCTTTTTTGTCCTTCCTTTTGACAGCTTTATTGATACTGTTTGTCTTTTAATAAGAGTACTGTCCCTGTCATTTGAAATTGTAGATAGAAACTATGGCTTACATTCTTTAAAATATGTATAAACTAGCTGGGCCTGGTGGTGCATGTCTGTATCCTAAGCTATGGGAGATTGAAGCAGGAGGCTCTAGAGTTCTAGACCAGCCTGGGCTGCAAATAGAGACTGTTTCAAAGGGGGGCGGGGCAAAAAAAAGATGTCTAAATTAAAAATACTTCATTCTTATATTGTAGTTAATAAAGATGAGAGGACAGAAGTAAAGAATGGCAGGGAACAAATTTGATGAGAAAGAAGATTCAGGCAGGCTAAAATGTTTTTTGGAGTCTTTGGATATAATATAAAAATACTAAGTTTGGGGATTAGAAAGATGATGCAGTGGGTAAAGTGCTTGCTGCTCAAGCTTGAGGAACGGGATTTAGATCCCCAGCACACAGGTAAAAGGATGGTGTGGTGGCATACATCTAAACCTCAGCACTGGGGAGGGGACCCGTAGGGGTCATTGGCCAGCCAGCCTAGCCAGTTGGTGAGCTCTAGGTTCAGTCAGAGATCCTTTCTTAAAAAATAAGGTGGAGTACAGTAGAAGAAGATAGCAGTGTCAATCTCTGGCCTTTACATGCCACACATGGACAAGTGCACCTACGTACACAAAATTAATTTTTTTGGTCTTTTGAGACAGGGTCTCCCTGTAGCCCCAGCTGGTCTGGAACTCACTATGTAGACCAGGCTGGCCTTGATCTCTCAGAGATCTGCCTGCCTCCGTCTCCTGAGTGCTGGGACTAAAAAGGTGTGGGCCACCACACCCAGCTCACAAAATAAATTTTAAGGATATGTAAGTTTATTTAAGATGTAGCTATTTTATGTCAACGATAGGTGCTATTACTGTATGCCAGGCATTGAGTACCTAATGTGTAATTCCTTTTTCCTGTAATGCTATTTAACAAAGACCTATTATTTCTACTTCATAAATGAAGAAACTGAGGTTCATATTAATAATCTGTTCAGAGACCGAGCTAGTAAGTAACTGAAATAAAACTTCCATCATTGAAGTCTTTGACTTCAAATTCTGTTTTTTCCACACTGCCACAGGATAATTGAAAAACAGTAACAACAAAAAAAACAGAATAGGTTTTGAAATCTTGAAAGTCTTCCCTAAGGCTAAAAGACACAAATACTTTAAAAAATATTTTCTTTATTATTTTTATTTTATGTATATGAGTGTATTTCCTGCATGTATGTAAGTGCACCCATGTCGTGCAGTGACTGTGGAGGTCAGAAGAGGGTGTTGGATTCTTCTGGAATTGGAGTTATGAACAATTATTAGTTGCCATGTGGGTGCTGGGATCTGAACCCGGGTCCTCTGCAAGAGCAGCTTTTAACTGCTTTTAAAAGCTTTTAGCTTTTAACTGCTGAGCCATCTCTCCAGCCTGACACAAATACTTTTGAAAAAAATTTTTTTTAACCTTCTCAGCAGTGATACTTTCTCTCTCTCTCTCTCTCTCTCTCTCTCTCTCTCTCTCTCCCCCTCCCTCCCTCCCTCCCTCCCCCCCAATGAAAAAATGCCTGTTATCAAGGAATTAGAGTCTTTATCATTTGGCTTTTGGCGATATTGCTGCTAAAGAAATAGAGTCATGCTAAGGTTTCTGTTGATGCATGTTAATCCTTTCTTTGGTTTATATTTATATTAAAAATAATAAAATATTAAAAAAATAATCAATTTCGTTATTAAGCCTTAGCCTTTTCAGCAAACGTCCCATTGTCTTTATTTCCTTTGTTCATCTAAAAAAATATTTATTATTTTTATTTTATGTGTATGCATGTATGCCTACATGTAGGTAAGTTCACCCACGTTGTGCAATGCCTGAGGTGGTCAGAAGAGGCTGTTGGATCTTCTGAAACTGGAGTTACAGACAGTTGTTAGCTGCCATGTGGATACTGGGATTCAAACCTGGGTCTTCTGCAAGAACAGTCAGTGTTCTTAACTGCTGTGCCATCTCTCCAGCCTCCTTTGTTCATATTTTTAGACATAATATATACATAGTTTAAACTCTGAATTGGATGTTGATTGTTGAATTACTCTGAAATATGAATGTATTAGCTTTTCATAGGGACATCATGATTTCTGTTTTTAGAGCAGCTCATTTAGATGATTTATATATAGATTATACTATTTCCAAAGTTGTAACTTTGACTTTAGCTATAGGAGCAAATTACATTTTTTAAGTAGAGAGTTAAAAATATTGTTTATCTAGAGGTCTTTGTTTTAGGAAGGTTAGCTGATTTTATAGACATACACAGGTGCCAAGGATCCGAGTGCAACCGATTATGACTAGTAATAATCAGATACATACAGATTCGAGATGCATGTGCCAACATTTCAGTGTTATTAGCAAAAACAATGAGTCTTTCTGTAAGAAATAGTATATTTTAAAATGAAATCGAGGTCTTTTTTAAAGGTTAAAAATGCATTCAATTTTATGTTTTACAGGGCTTATACTGAGTTCAGTATTGTATAACCACTTGTGAAAGAGATGTACTCTTGCTCTGGAGTGTGTTACTGAATATGTTAAAACTGCAATGAAA